CGGTTCGGAGCGAGCCGCCGGCCGGCCGCACCCGCGTTGGAAGGCGCCTCGCCCTGGGCCGGGCCCATGTGCGTGCGGCCCGCTCCAGGCCGCCCGGGCTTCGCCTTTGCCAGCGCCCTGGCCTCCACGCAGGCCTCCGAGGAGCCGCCGCGACCCCCGGCCCGCGGGGCAGGTGAGTGCGGCTGTCTGCGGGCTGCTCCCGTGGCCTTGAGCGGTGAGGGACACCCTCCGCCTGTTTGCTCCGGGTCGGTCGATCAGTCAGCTCGCCCGTATGTCCGCTCCGCCGTCCTTCCACGCCTGTCGGTCAGCGCCCCTTGTCAGTGTACTGTTGGGCGCGCCACCACCAGCCAGCGACCCTGTCAGCACACCTCGTCGCTGTTCCTGTCAGTCAGAACCCTGTCCACCCCCGTCACTATTCCTGTCAGCCAGAGCCCTGTCAGCGCTGTCAGTGAGTGCCGCCCCTGTCAGCCAGAGCCCCTCAGCGCCCGTCAGTCAGTGCCTGTCAGTCCGCACCCTGTCAGCGCCCGTCAGTCGTTGCCCCTGTCAGCCAGTGCCCCTCAGTGATGCTCCTGTCAGCTCCACTGTCAGTGTTCCTGTCGGGTGGAGCGCCCTGTCAGTAGTGCCCCTGTCAGTGTCCCTGGTAGAGCCCTTTCAGTCAGCGTTTCTTTCCTGTGTGTCACACAGCTCGCCTGCCAGCACCCTGTGAGCCACGGTCCCCCACACCATCACCTCTACCCCCAGTCAGTGCCCTGGTCATACAACCCTTAGCCTCCCCGTGCACCACGAACCCTTTCAGCTTTCAGGGATAACACTCTGGCATGTGCACCTGGTTTGCTACCACTGCCCTTTAGGATTGGCTTCGCCCTGTCTACCTCCCATCAGTCTCTTGTCACTCAGCATCCTGTTTCTCAGTGTTGCCTTCCACCTCTCTCCACCTGCCAAGCCCCCTCTGACATGACCACTTCCCTGGGATGGGCTGCACCCCCCAGGACTGGCTGTCAGCAGTTTCGCCATGCTTGACAGTGGTCTCTGTCAGTGTCCTGCTCTCAGTGCCTGCCAGCCTTTCAGTGGCCTCCCCCTTAGTGACTAGCCTAAGTGTCTGCTCCATGTCTGGCAAGGTCCCTCCACTCTTTCCTGTCAGTGTCAGGGTGGAGCTGACCCCACCCTCCCATGTCAGTGCTTGCCTCCTGTAAGGTTCCCCACCCTCACTTTAGTGTTATACACTTTTTTTTTTTTTGTCTTTTTGAGACAGGGTCTCACTATGCAGTTTAGGCTGGCCTTGAGCTCACTTTGTAGCCCAGGCTGGTCTTGAACTTGCAACAATCCTCCAGCCTTCAGCCTCAAGTGCTGGGTTTATAGGCATGTGCCATCATGCCAGTGATGCTGTTTTTATGGTCCCTCTACCTGCTGCTTTGCATCCTTTCAGTCTGTCATTCAATTATTACTTCCAGTTTGCTGATAACTTGCTGTTGCCACCAGCTAGCCCTGCTCTCAATACAAAGCCCCTCCCATCACTCTTCTCCCTACTCATCTTGTTCCTGTGCCATTGTCCTGTCTGCTATTCTTACACTCCACCTCTCCCCTTCTCCCCTACATGCTCATGGCTTCTCAATGCCCCATCATTGACTGTATTCATCTGTTCACCTTTTCTTACCCCCCCTCTACCTGCCAGTTTTCTTTTTCCTTCTTTGTGATGCTGGGGATTGAATTCCTACCCTTTCAGTGCTGAGTAACTACTACCCAGCTATATCTCCAATCCTGATTTCTAGGATTTTTGTTGGTTTGTTTTGAAACAGAGTCTTGCTATGTAGTTCAGGCTGGTCTTGAACTCATTATGTCTCCCAGGCTGGCCTTGAACATGAAGTGATTCTTTTGCCTCAGCCTCCCAAGTGTTGGGATTACCTAAGTGCACCACCATACCTGGCTTGATTTCTGGGCTTTTTGATGAAATAGATGGACAGTGACAATTTACTGAAATAGGAGATTGGATTGCTGTGGAAAAAGGCATGGAAGGAGTTCTATGCTGGCAGGAGAAAGCAAGGTTTTCTTTTGGCTGAAAGTAGAAGTCTGAGAAGTCCAAGGGTTGTTAGGGAAAAAGTGTCTTGTAGAAGAATTTAGAGCCCGCGGAAGAAGTCAGGCTGCAGGTGTACAACTTTAAGCAGGAGGATAATGTTTAGAACCTTGGAAATGACTACTTAAAGCACACACACACACACACACACACACACACACAGAGCAAATTGTATTGAACATTTATTATGTGCTGTTGAATTAAATGCTTTTTGTGAATCATTTAATCTTCACATCAACCCTAGGATGTAGGAACTATATTTTCTCTGTTTCACAGGTGGAGTATTCTACAAATAATAGATCAAAGACTTGTACCCAAAGCAGTTTGACTCTAAATGTACCTTTCCTTTTATTACTTTAAATTTTTGGATAATAATAGCAATAGCTTGTTGAGGATATATTTCAGCAGCATAAGGGTCTGCCTGGCAAGCTCAAGGTTCTGAGTTTGATCCTTAGTACTGTAAAAAAAAAAATCTGATTAATAACAGTAGCTGATTTCTGTCAGGCGCTTGTGACATCTGTGAGAGATCTGTATGCTATAGGAAAACCTTACAGAGAAATACAGGCCCAGGCACTTTTTGCTTGGTAGTTTGTTTTGAGACAGTCTCACTGTGCAGTTCAGGCTGGCCTTGAGCTCACTTTGTAGCTCAGGCTACTCTTGAACTTGCAGTGATCCTCTTGCCTCAGCCTCCTGAGTGCTGGGATTACAGAAATGTGCCACCATGTCTGGCTAGACTACCATTTTTATACAGCCCAAGCTTGCCCTGAACTTAGTGTATACTGCAGGCTGACCTTGAATTTGAGACAGTCCTCCTGCCAGAACCTCTTGAGTGCTGGGATTAGAGGCATGTGCCACCATACTTAGTTCAAAATATTTTGAAAATTTTGTGCTTTAAAAAAAAATCTTTAAAAAAAAAGAGATAAAATATAGCAAAAGGAATTTTAAAAAATCTTTTATCTATTTATTTATGTGGTACAGGGTCTTGCTACACAGGTCAGACTCGTAGTGACGCTCCTGTTTTAGCCTCCCCAGTACTGGGATTGTAGGTGTGTGCCACCATGCCCAGTTTTGGTGGCTGGCTCAGTACCCATGGCCAGCACAGCATGCAATACCAGGGATCGAACCTGGGTTCTTGCACTGGCCAGACAGGCACTTAGACTGCTGAGCTATCTCCCCAGCCCCTTGAAAATTTTGAAACAGTAACTCGCTGAGTTGCTAGATTGTGCATGCTGGGTTTGAATTTACAATCCTTCTGCCTTAGCCTTTCAGAATGCTGGAATTACAGGTGTGTACCACCATGCTTGATTGGATTATTTTTTGTGTTTAAAGAGTTAAGAAATACATTGTGACTACAAGTCCTTTGTAGGGGGCTGGGGAGATGGCTTAGTGGAATAAGTGCTTCCCTGGCAAGTGCAAGGGCCTGAGTTCAATCCCCTGTTCTGCCAAAAAAAAAAAAAAAAAAAAAAAAAAGTCGTTTGTAATGTGGTCATATATGTGTGCATATGTACATATATAGTGAGGGAGTGGGAGGAGAGGCAAGGGGGTATATAGGCGTGCTTTTTCCTGGTTTTCTTTGTTTTTGTTGTTCCTTTGAGACATCTTTTCTATTTATTTATTTGGTACTAGGATCAAACTTGGACCTTGCTCTTGGCAAGCAGGCACTTATGCCACTGAGCTATATCCCCAGTGCCTTTTCTTTCTTTTTTTGTACTGGGATTTGAACTCAGGACCTAATGCTTGCCAGGCTAGGGCTTGTGCCACTAAGTGATATCCCCAGCTCATTAATTTTTATTATGATGTGATGTGTTGTCAGGATACATTTTTTCCACTTTTTGTTGTTTCCACTTACAGATACACAATTCAGCATCATTTGGCTTTTTTCTTAATTTTTATTCATTTTAATGAGAAAAAAGAATAGCAATGAAACAGTTTCAATATAAGTTAGTAGGACACTTACAATAATTAATACAGCATCATTTGTTGGAAAGACCATTTTCTCTATTAAATTGTATTGGAACCTTTGAGATATATATATATATATATATATATTTTATTTATTTTATTTATTTATTTATTTATTTTGACAGGGTCTTGCTATCTAGCCCAGACTGGCCTTGAACTCATGGTGATCCTCCTTTGTCAGCCTCTTAAGTGCTGGAATTACAAGTGTGTGCCACTAATCCCAGCCTCTTTGTTATAAATTATTTATTTAATTTATTTTTGGTACCAGGGGTTGGCCAGGGATTGGACTCAGGATCTTGTGCTTGTCAGGCAGGCACTTACGCTGCTGAGCTATAATCCCTCTTTGTTATAAATTAGTTTAACATGTATGTGTAGACTTCTGTGGGCTTTCAGATATGTTTCTTTTTTCTTTTTTTTTGCAGTTGCTTGACTCACAGGTATCAGCATGTATAGTTAGAGTGAGAATCCTACCAATTACGATATTTACACATGTGGGTCTGGTTTATTTCACTAATAAGTATATCTTCCAGTGGCATCCACTGAAATATAAATGCTTCAGCTTTATCAATCTTTATTTTTTCCCCATAATTTTATTGAGAAACAAATAGCAATGAGACAGTTTCAAACCAAATTGGTAGGACAGTTTCAATAATTAACACATTGCATTAACATATAGCAATTAACCTAGTGGTTAATTGCTGTACAAGATGCGGACATGATATCCTATTTACAAACACCATCACAACAAATCCCTCTATTTATTAAGAGAATGTAACTATATATCTATCCTACCATTTTGAATACACAGATACAAAATGGACATTCATCTGTATCCCCTTTTTTTTTGTTAAGTTCCATCATTTAAATATTTTAGGTGTGTAAACTCAGCAAAATATTCTAAGAGAGTTCAGAGGTCCATAATAGTATTGGGTCTTCTGCTTCACTGGCAGTGTCAGAAATTGTTGACCTGAGTCCCCTACAGCTCCAATAACACCATGGCTTTACTTCTTATATTTCGTTTTTATACTTTTCTGCTGGATGGTTAAGACCAAGGTGAAGCAGGACCTATGAAACAAGAGTTGTAGCTTTTGGGTCTGATAAGGTCAGTGAAATCCCCTCAGGATTTATCCTGAGATCCT